AAAAGTTATGGCATTAACAGTAACATTTTCTAAATTATTGCAAACAGTCAATTATAATCTCATTGGTACATTAAATGCCATAAACTTTGTGAAAAAGTCACTTTAACATGGCACTGTGATGAGAATGAAATATGGATGAATGCTGATATCGGCCCATTCAACAACGCTAATTATTTAGCAAATGCTTTAAATATAGCCTTAGTGACTCCTCGTGTCGCATATAGGCAATTGCATAGAAACAACCTCCCTGCTGAAAATACATGCCAATATTATAAAAGAGCAATTTGGTTTCCGTATCTAGATTCAGTGATTCAATCTATGGATGCACGGTTTTCAAACCACCAGCAACTAGTTATCAAAATGACTGCTCTGTTATCATCACTAATTTCTCAACATAGTTGGACTGATGTGGTTGAAGCTGTAAGAATGTTTTCTTCTTTAATTGCGTATTGAGACGAGGAAACTATTCATAATAAATATTTGGAGTGGAAAGAATTTTGCTCGCATATGCAAAGCCATCCTTCAACTTTATTAGCAGCTTTAGATCTAATTTCTGATAGGTATAATTTATAAAAAAGAAACACTATATCTGTTTAAATCTCTGTTGCTTATTAACTTACTCAGTTTTATTTTATAGATTGTAAACCATCAAGACTCTTCTTTGGAGTGAACCAATGATGAGCGTTTTTTTCTGGCTTGGCATTATTATATATCTATAATACCATGCCTTTAGAAGTAAACGACGTAATTGCAGCTAGTAAGAAGAGACGCTTAGATTTTGCATTGTAGATTTTGTACTTAATTTATTTATTAAAAAAAAACCCTCTAGTCTAAAAAAAGTCTAAAAAAAATGTGAAATTATTTCCCGCGGAAATGTAACTATCTATATAAGAAACTAACTCGCCATAGTACAACTCCAATACTATCAGTCGATATCTTTTTATTCATAGTTTCCATAAAGGTTATGCTAAAAGTAAAGGGAGTTGGGGGGGATGTTGATAACAAAAGTAACCACTTTTGTTATCAATATCCTCTCCCCCTCCTTATACCAAAAAATCCTGGATCCGTTACTGTTTAAAACTTTGAGTAGATTCTCAACTTCTGAGTCTAAATTGAATTATTGCTTCTGAGAAAAGTGGTATTAGAATACTTAGGGATTAGAGTTAAAATGACATTAATTCTTATAAATTATTAATAAAAATGTCTCAAAATTTACGAAAGCTTGATCTATAAATATAATATAAACTTTCTTATTTTAATATATTCTTTTCATATTATATTATGTTTTGTATATTATGTTTTGTGTATTATATTATATGAATTTTAATAGACAATAAACCCATAAATCGTGAGTATTTGCATGTAAAGAACTTTTTGGGGTTTAGTTTATATGTTAATATGTAAATACCAAAATTTAAAAAATATAATAATATCACAACATTCCCCTTATAATAAATTTAGGGGATTGGACAAATTTGCCGTAATTCCATAAAAAGTTGAACTACTCGTCAGGATGTCGTCACCAAACAATTTCTTCTTTTCATAGATCAAATTGTTTATTAGTCCTTAACATCATCAAATAAAAGTTTTGAAGTAATCAGATTTTTAACCTAAACATTCTACATTTGACTAGTGTCTAACAAAAGTTATTAAAAACTATTAAAGCTGCAAACCGCAAATTCTTTGCGTTTTCTACAAATAAATCACAATTTGCTATTTTTTTTTTATTATTTTAATTATCTTTTTTATTTATTTATTTGAATTTTCATGCTATATTTTTTTCTATGCAATGTTATATCCCAAGATATTATTGGCTTAACTAGGAACAGCCACAAACAGTCATTAAGACTAATCAAAAGTAGCATCCGTTATTGATCAATATATTTGCGTACAGAAGAAGTTGGCGGTGGCCGGATTTGAACTTATATCATGCAACACTTCGGGGTTTTTTTTGTTTGACGTTCTAATCAACTGAGCTATCCAGCCACAATCAAGAAAGTATAAGTCAATTATATCAAGTATATTAAACTGTTCAAATCTCGGTTTTACACCAAACCCCTGACCAAAGCATATACATTCTGTAGTATCGCAACCAGTATATAAAATTTTAACACTTTAAAACCTGGTTAAAATTTAAAATGCGGAAATACCATGTGCTTTATGTGTATTTTTCATATGATAGTTGCATCTAGTTTCTTCAAGTACTTAATTAAAGATTATAATACCGCATTCAGTGGCAATTATGTAAACTACTATGTGTGCTAACAACTAATTATCAGTTTATTAATCGATCACAAACTAGATTAGAGTTTTACACTTTTATTCTACTTATAAACACTATGGCCACATGTGGGCCACATTACCTTTTTGGTCAGGATAGTTAACTAAAAATTCTGCATAATACAGAATTACATAAAGTTACACAAAAAGACACATAAAGACACATTTCGGGCCCCTACAAATTGGGCCTACCTTGCCTATGCGTTAAGACGGCACTGTTTGTATTATGACAGAAAATCAAAGTGTTTAATATTCATGTTTTGTATGAAAACCACATCTGTTTTTACCCGCCCGAAGACCATCCAGTTGGCCTGACGTCACTCTGTATTAAATAGTATTGTTTTAAAATTAAACATCATGAATTGATGGAAAAAAAAAAAAAAAAAATCAATGGCGGTTTGTTGAGTTATTTTTTTTTTAAATTTGAAAAAGTTGTTTTGCAGTAAGATGCATTAACAATATAAAAAAAATTAAGAATTTAAGTCTTTCTAAAGGTTAAGTACTTCGAAGAAAGGTTAAGTACTTCGAAGAAAAAAATACGTGAAGATAGTATTAAATCTTGTTGTAGATAGTGGTGCGTTTAGCAAACAATAGTCTCCTAAATCTTCTAATGTTTTTTTTTTTGTTAAGCATACTTTATTACTGGTCAGCTACTTTTAATTTACATCTTAGTTTAGTATTGGTAAATAAATATCAAAAATCAGTATTTTTTATACTTTAAAACAACCAAAAATAATAAGACAGCAATGTAAGGCATCATTTTATTTAAACAGACAGTATGTAAAAACAAAGGAAAATCACCTAAGCAAATGACAAATGTGCACAAGTACCAAAGACTGTCAGTACAGAGATGCCTGATGCTGCACATCTACATTAATAATTTTTAAACAAAAGTAGCAAACATCGTTTTTTTATTTTTCAAAACTTGAAAAATTCTTACTTATAGCTGTAAATATTTAAAATTATTGACCACTAAAATAATCTAAACTAAGCTTCATTTATTTTTATTAAAATACTTTATTTATTTTTTTTAAAACGCTTTATTTACTTTTCTAATCTTCTAATAGGTTTTTTCTATTAGAAGATTAGATGTTAGAATGATGTTTTTGATTTCCTCAAAAATTGTTCAAACAGTTGAACGATTCAAACAGTTTTAAATAAAGATAACTGGAGATGACTGATTAAAGTCTTTCATCAAACGAAACCATACTTCTGGCAGAAATTCTTCTAATTTAAAGTTAGGAGTTGAAACTATAACTAATTTTTTTCATAAGTTTGAATAAACTATTGAATCACTTGGCAATATTCCATCTTCAAACATATTTTCGATAAGACAAATCTTTCAGATGATTATGGAAAAAAGTTTGTTTTAGTTCGAAGAGGAAAACGGCGTGTGTAAAATGTTTAAGAATATAGTAAAACTTCAATATCTGTTATGAGGAATTGCTCTGCTTCCGGAGTAATAAAAATACCTATGGTAGTTTATAGAGCATTGAACGTTTATAAAGGTTGGGTGACAGGAGAGCCGCATGAAACAGCCTACAGTTGCACAAAATCAGGTTGGTTTGTTATGCAAACGTTTGAAAAGTGGTTTGAGTTGTGTTTTTTGCCAAACATTCAACATTTGAATAGACCTAAACTTTTTTGACGACATAACTTCTAATTATAATACAGACGTTATTAAATTAGCAAAAGACCACAATGTTTTATTTGTTATGTTGCCACCTAATGCCACACATTTAATGCAGCCATTAGATGTATCTGTCTTCACTCCAATGAAGCGATGTTGTAAACATGAACAAAGCAAGTGGATGAAATAAAGCAGGAAATCTGGATCCCCAAAGAATTATGACAACGATGAAATAACCATTCAACTTTTTAAACAAAAAATTCAACTTTGATAATCTTAAGTTTACAGTTTCTCCATTTTCAGTTACCCCATTTTCCAATTATTTTTTTTTCTCTTGATGTTTTGACCTTTTATTTAGGTTAATGACATATTGAGAAGCCAAAAACAAACATGTCAATATATTTTATGTAACTAGAGTGGTACGGCCCACAAAAAAAAAAAAGTTTATATATTAATTTTAAAAGAACAGTTGAACATATACTTCGAAAATTTTCCGGAGTAGTCACGGCTGACGGTACACAATGTTTATAATGTTAAAAATATAATTTATAAGGTTTATAATATTATAAGTTTTATAATATTATAGTGTTTATATGTTAATTATAAAAATGCTATTAAAATATGACGTATATTTATATTTTACATATAAAAGTGAACTTTAACCCGCCTGTTTATATTTCAAATTTTAAACTAACCAATGTCTTACAGCTACATTAAGCTAAAAAAAAAAAAAAAAAATTTATGATGTAGGTAGCATTTCAACTAAAAAAAAATGACTTTTATGATGTAGTTAACATCTCAACCAAAAAAAAAAGTACCATTTCTGACGACATAGCTGGGTTATATCTTAAATTTAAATGGTTTAAATTTAGGATATCTAAAAATTAAAACTTCAGTCCATAAAACCATTATTTATATAACTAATAAATATATAATTAGACCCAGATTACCCCTTGGACCATCATTACTGCACCCTAACCACGTAATAATTTTATGTGTAATACTAATGTTTATATATATATGCAATAATTTTATAATAAATGTATCTATGCGAAAAAAATATGTCTATACATGTATGCAATAATTTTAGGTGATGGAACAAAATGTGTGGACATTAACGAATGCAGAAAAGGAATGGCCAAATGTGATATAAATGCAGAATGCTCAAACACTGATGGATCATACGTTTGTACCTGCAATGGCGGTTATTCAGGTAATATTGCTTATTTTCAAATCAGTGGTTTGAGATGAGAGACAGCTCTGAACATGGATCCAAAGTTTTTGCGTTCAAATCTAGTTTGTGTGATAAATTAGTTATCAGTAATATTGGAAAGGGACGGTTGTATTATTTATTAATATTTGTTAAACTAGAAATTTTTCACAAATAAATTTAAAAGTTATCTCATAAGTTATACAATCTATTAAGCTATAAAAATAGCTTAATAGATTAATAAATTAGCTATCTATTAAGCTTTTTTTATAGCTTACGGCTGTTTGTGCAGTACACGTTCTGCGCTTTGAATTTATATGGTTCAAGTGCAGAACTTTATTTAGTTGGTGCACAAAAGTGTGCATTAAAAAAAACAATCTTTGTGCAATAACTAAAAAAAAAAATTTTCGAAACCGAGAAACGAACCACGAGCCCTCGGTTCCTAGCTAAATGGAGAATCCACTCGACCGCGCTTACGTTAATAGTTGAAAAAAAAACTGTATTTATAAATTAATAGTTTTGCATGTATGATATGTTATTATTTATTATATATTTATTATTATTATATTATTATTATAATTATATATAGTATATTATATATAGTATTATATTTCGGAAAAATTGATTTTTAAAATTGGTATTATGTTTAGGAGAGCGATGTTAATTTATACAATTTTACACGGAACTATTGGGGTGAAAAAAAAAACATTAAACAGACTGAAAAGTACTAATTAATTAACTCAAAGAAGTTCAGAGATTTATAGACATTATTATATTTAAAATTGTTTTGTATTTTGTAAAATTTTGCACCCCCTCCCATCTTCTCTAAAAATACTTTTTTAGGGAGGGGGGGTACAAAACTGTTGGGTAAATTGGGCGGAGGGATGGGAGCAATAAAGTGTTACGGATGCGTTACGAGGGGAAGAAGGTCAAAAAATGTCAAAAATTGCGTGATGTAACTTATTGACGACCCCTAATAAGTGTTTTTCTATTACGATCCAGCCCTCGGATTTAGGGTCAGCATTCGGTCATACCGACCTAACTGCCGATCTTAAAGTATTTGAAATCAGCAAAAAATTGCCGAACTTGTTTCTATATTTTATGCTAAAACATTATTTAAAAAATTCTTCAAACAATTAAAGCAGAAGTTTCCTCGGCTATTTGGATGGCATTGCTTGAATCATCGTTTTGTTCCTGCTATATTTGATGCAGTTAGAGCATGCAACACACACTTTAACTGCATCAGGGGTTAAAGTATGGGGAAACGCAGGGGAACTTTATCCCTCTTTAGCGACAAATCACAAAACTGTTCTGCTTTCTGTTCCACCATCGTGATTTTGAGTTGTTGTTTTGTTTTTGTTTTTTGATGCAATCGTCCATAAATTAGGCAACGCCTAATTTATTTTATTAATAAAAGTATAAGGTTATTTTTACTTTTGCGCGGTAACTTCTAATAAAGTTAAACAGCTATGTTAATTTTTGGTTTATTATAAGTTTCTGAAAGGCAAAACTTTAAGGGAAAACTAAAATCTTTAATGGTAATTTTTTTTTTTTTCCGTATTAAATGTTTGTTTGTTAAGTCACGCTTAGAAACAGTTGATGAAAATCATTTCATAACCCACGCATTACACCATATTCATGGCCACGAAATTATCAAAATGAAATACAAATTTCCCTTGAGTATTTGGAGAGTCTTCTAAAAGGATTTTTTAATTTTTTGATTGATGATTTTTTTTTAACAAAACAGGAGTTTCGTGACTTTGAGGATCATTTTAATAGTCAAGAACATGTATCCGCTTCATGTGATTATATTTACGGAACTAATCAGATTGCCAAAGTTAAAATGTCTGTATTTATTAATAATCATATATATCTGTACAAATCAGTTGCGGATTCAGCATAAGGCGTGGGACCCACTCCCTCGCACCCCACCCGCCCACCCCCGCGTTCCCTAAGTCAATCAATTGGTGCCCCCTAAAATATAAGCTTCTCATTACACAATTCTACGTTTATTTCAATGGAAATATAAAATTGGGTAACAACAAACCATTGTTTACATACCTGTTTTACAACTTTGCCTGCATTTATGGCAGAAAAGGTATTGTGGTTTACCTCCATACAGAGACTAACAACTTACAAGGCCTGCGAAGATGAGTTTGTCTTCGCGGGTAACGAAGACGAACTCGTCTTCGCGGTATCATAACCCGCTTAGCAGAGTAAGAGTAAGTGAGTTTAAGCAGAATGAAGGATAATAAGAGTAAATGAGATAAGAAGAATGAAGGATGATAAGAGTAAGTGAGTTTAAGAAGAATGAAGGAGTAAAAGTCAGACGAAATTGAGTTAAAAAAGATAGCATAGAGAAAGCAGACAGATATTGAGCTGATGTAAGAATGTGCAACTAATATCTTATATTTTATTAGAAATTAATTTTTTTCAAGCTCTTTATTATTTATGGCAAAAACAAAACAAAGTTTTTTTTAAAGAAAATATCTCTTATAATCAATTTAACAGTGTGGAGCAATTTAAATTTGTTTTTATATGTTAAAAATGTTTTTGGAAAAAATCCGTATAGCAAAGTCTCCCCATTTCAAATCTACTCGTACCGGCCCTACTTTCAAAGATATGTGATATGCCCTTCTTTCAAAGATATGGCAATTTAATTATAAATGAAAGGTAGACATCCATTTTCAATAAAAAGATAGATGACATCATGCTTTTCTAAATTGTCTTTACTCTACAAAAACATCTGCTTATGGTGAAAAAAGTTTCAGTAGACTAAAGATCATAAATTATCTGTGATTAAGAATGACAAAACAATTTATTTTTTGATTAATAATAATTTTAATTGATTAATTATGCACGTCTGTGTGCGCTTCAACACAGCGCACACAAATGTCCATAAGACATTTTTATAAACGTTACAAAACCTTATGATATTCTTAAGACTTCTAAAGAACGTTCAGTACCCGCTGGAAATGAAATATCGCTGAAAAAAATTTTAAGGAGAGTAAATTTCTTTCGTAATGTTTGCTTTTAGAATACATATAGTGTAAAAATACTTTTAAATAAGGAAACCAAACCAAAAAAGCAGCCGTGGCGCAGTGGTAGCGTACTTGCCTCAGAAACAAATGATGCATAGTTTAAACCCCACCTCTGGACAAGCTTTGCGACATCGGTTAGGAAGGAGGCGTGAACTTTCAAATAAATGCTCATCCGCGGTGCTCTGTGGTTTATCACAAATGTAAAAAAAAAATGTTTCTAGGAGTAATATGCCGCCTACAACTCTTGTCGCCCCCTAGTCATTTTTATGCGCCTCCCTTTCCCCCACAACACTAAACCTTAATCCGCCACTGGTACAGGTGTACAAAGCATAATGTCAGTAAAATATACAAAATCATTAATGTTTATTGAAGGTCTTCCACTAAAAGAATTCTGGCCGAAGAAGTATGTAACAGAATGGGAATGTAGGTAGACGAACAGCTGATTGCGAGGAATAAATATGTAGAAAGGAAATAAAAATTAACTGGAATAAAATCATTTTAGATATTGCTATAGTGTTTCAGAATGCTCATAACACTTTGATAATAATAATTATTTGATAATCAATACTTATTTAATATTGAAAATAATTATCTTTTTTTAGCTCATTAATTTTTTTTTTCCGTAATAAAAGAATTTAATTTAGGCATATGATATAAGCAAATAATTATGGGCAGAAATAGTAATTTTGATCATTACCCGAGACCTCAAAATATGGTAAAAATGCACCAAATAAAAATGCACCTATAGCAAAAACTTGAACGATATAATTTAGAAGCTGGAGAGGCTATTGAAAGTGTGTGTTCAAAGGGATGCGCTTTGAACACACACTATGAACTGTTTAAAACCGTCTCATTTGATTACTCTTTTCTCTTTAACCCCTAAATAGTAGTCATCACTCTATACATATATATATATATATATATATATATATATATATATATATATATATATATATATATATATATATATATATATATATATATATATATATATATATATATATATATATATATATATATATATATATATATACATATATATATATATATATATATACATACATACATACATACATACATACATACATACATACATACATACATACATACATACATACATACATACATACATACATACATTCCAACCAATGTTTTAATGTACTGTTTTAAGTATAACCAATGTTTTTAACTAGTCCAATTTAGGTTAGGTCAGGTCAGGTTTGGGATCATCATGATCACCCTGCTACAGGTATCATATAACCCAGTATTACCCGGTCTATGTCCTGCTGCTTTATAGGGTTTTGTTTTTTTTAGATAAAGACTAGGAGAAACTCTGGTTTTGAAATCCCTTGCTTTGTGGCGCTTGGTTGAGTAAAGGCTTGAGATGGAGTCTTGATAAAAATGCTCATCTTGGGCAATCATCTTGTTAAAAACATTTTGTTAACTGCATCCAGTTAAAATTTTCCTGCCTTTGGGCTCTTGGTTGAGTAAAGGCTAGAGAAGTTTTTCAATAAATTTACTTATGTTGCGTAGATGTTAACTGCATTCAGCTACTGCCTTGTAGAAGGCCTCCTAGGCAAAAACTTTAAAGATAAGCAGAATAGCTATGTTGACCAGCCTCCAAACCTTTCATCATCTATTAGACTAGCATAGATGTAAACCTGTGTTATATTGTTTTCTGCCTAAAATGACGAATGCTGGATCTTCTTGACTTTTACTTCTGTCTCCGTGGTAGCAGCTATGCAACTCTTCCTATTATCTCCTAATGAGGGTACAGCTCTAAACTCAGTCTAATGGTTCTAAGGCCGGCTGGTAGTGAGGTCTCCTTAACTCTGTGGTAGCTCTTAGAGAAGCTGTCTCCATGAACAACTGTAAAGTATCAGAGTACTAATGTTGCCATGTTAAGCGCGGATGGTGTTCCAGTGTATGCTTTTGGTGTGCATTGTTGAAACCACTTAAGGGGCCACCCTAAGTTATGACTTTAAGCTAATTAGTAGGACTGAGACAACTGCATAGCTTATCATTTGAGATGTCGTGTTCTATCTATGGATGAGTCAAAATCTTTTTAAACTTAATTCATGCCTAAAGTAACCCAAAATATCAAACATAAAAAATCATTTCAACCTTCTAACTGTTTCAATATATCTTTCACAAATCTTTTTGGCCTTCAATGTAACCTATCTTCAGTTGAATCATACTTCGTGTAAATTTCATCAAACCTGCTTGCTCTTAGTGAAACTAATTTAAATTTGGTTGTTACACCTTTAGATCTTACTATTGATGAATACTATCCTTTGATTTGCAAAGAATCTAATAGTCACATGTTTGGCTCGGAGTATACTTATGGATTAATTCACCTGTTATTCAAGAAATCAGGTTTGAATCTTTTGACCATTTTTTTATGTGTTTCCACTTAACATCTTTTTTACATCATTTTTTTTTTTGTTCTTCTCAAGACTGCAATTTTTAGATGTAATTTCTGATCAAATTTACTATGCCCTTTCTCTTTACCCCTTTTCCAATATTGTTGTTATTGGTGACTTTAATGCTTATCACACTGAATGGCTTGGCTCTAACACTACTGACCCTGCTGTACTGCTGGTAACTTCTTTGCCCATAACTTCTGCATTGATCAATCTTTTATTTAAACAGTACTTTGTGAATCATTTTCCAGATTTTTCACCCTAACCACTTACTTTCACTTTAAGATTTGTGTTTTGTCTCAGATCCTAGCACCTTACTACTACCCTAAAGTTGTCTGGGATTTTCTTTTGTTTTACCTTCGGCAGATAATAATAAAATAATAAATTGTTGGGGAGAATAGGTTTCATTAGGACCCTATTTAAAATAGATATCATAGCTTTTGTACTGTTTGAAAAAAAGTTGACATTTTTGCTGAAAAAAATAGTTTACTATCAATTGTTTTTAAAAAAAGCCCAACTAATTTAAATAAATTAAAGTTGCTTTTTTTCTTAAAAAATAAACTACTGAATGTCCATAACTACCCCACAAGAGGGGGTAGTTTTAGACGACTTTGTTTTGAAAATAAAACAAAAAGCTAAGATTTTTGTTTTTTAAAATTTTAAAATTTCATTTTTTATTAATTAGTAAAAGCAGAGTTAAGAGAACTATTACCAACAAAAGAATTATTTTTATAAAGATCTCAAACCATTAAATAAATTTTTTGTATATTATTATTTAAACAAACTAAAATGAAAATATTGTTCCATTGTCTATCAATCTTATAAATACAAAAATATTAACTTTAAAAAAAAGCAAAGTGAAAAATGTGAATGTAAAATAAATTGAGATAAACGCAAATAAAAGTTTAAATTCCATTGAAATTTTGTAACATTTAACCAAGTTTAAATGTTATGAACTTAATAATAAATGTGGAAATAGAATACTTGGTGGAAAAGTTATCACTTTTTAATTTCTTTATTTTTTATTATTTCTAAGCATTTTTATTTTGTAAGACAATTGGCTTTTAGAGAACCCATATACACCTGCAACTTCTTTTATTTTATTGTTTTATTAAGAACATTTACTGCAATTTTTAATTTTTCTTTGTTTATATCTTTCACATTTCTTTTTATAGTTGCGCATCATTTTTAAACTTTGCTTAATTCATAATAATTACAAACTAAAAATTATTCTTAATAATTTATTTTGCCGATAAGATTATTAAGAGACTCGTAATACGTCCGAATCCGTTCTAAACTACCCCGGTCCTAAACTGCCCAAATATATGTATATGTGTGTGTGTGTCAGTGACGGATCCAGGGGAATGGGGTATGCATTCTTTCTCCCCCACCTACCAGAATCTGAATTTCCTAAAAAGTCTCAGAAATAGAGGACCTTTTTCTTTTTTAAGAAGTCGCAAATGAGATACAAAATACAAAAATATTTCAACGCTCCTCCACCCCCTCCAAAAAAAAAATCCTGGATCCGTAGCTGGTGTGTGTAATTGTATGCTTATAAATCATCAATATTATTTTTTTACAGGAAATGGTTTTCAGTGCGAAAACATTGATGAATGTTTGAACTTTCCTTGCTCTCCATATGCTAATTGTACTGATTTGAAACCATTCTATGAGTGTAAATGCAACAAAGGTTTTTCCGGTAATGGTATAACTTGCACTGACAAAAACGAATGTGATGAAAAGGATACTTGTCGAGAGAATGAAAAGTGTATGAACACACAAGGATCATATCTTTGCATATGCCCTAATGTTATGCCTTTGCAAAAACCCTTTAATGAAGATTATTATGATCGGAAGGTTCTCGGTTTTTTGCTTAACAACTTAAAAGATGACACAGAGGGAAATTATCAATTTTCTCTTGATTATCATGCGCAAAAAATACGTACTTTATACTACTTTTTAGAAAAAACTTATGAGTTTCATTCTTCAAAAGTAAAAGAATCATTTTTTATGAGCCAGACCGTTGGAAGTTACTTTTCAGTTGAGCTTTATACTTTTCGCTGTACAGATGTTGCAAATGTATCATTCCCTAATTTTTGTCATTCCAGCTACGGAAACTCTTTTTTTTCTTTTTTAACAGATATTGTTAACATCCGGTTAATAGAAAGCGTTATTACACCACAAGAATCTTACGTCACTCCTACTCCCTACATTTTAACTAAAGATTTCGTAAACAATCTACCTGATACAACAAACGCAAGTTCTGTATCTAATGATACCACAATAACTAATGTCGTTCCGCCTTTCATTTGTAAAAACGATCCCATTGTAGGTTCACTGACCACTTCAGAAGGTTATTTTAAAAGTCCAATTATTAATGAAACAAATAAATATCCTCCAAATGCCAAATGCATATGGACCATTGTTGTTCCTGAACCCTTTAATTTATATGTAAAGTTTGATCATTTTGATCTTGAGGTAAGCAAGTCTTGTATATATGACTATGTGGCTGTCATGGATGAGAATGGCAATCAACTACAAAAGTACTGTGGAAACAATAAAACAAATTACTTGTTACCTGTTAGCTCTGGTAGTAAGATAATAGTTGAATTTTTTAGTGATAGGGAAGACGAGTATACTGGTTTTACCGCAAAATGGGGTCTCTTGTATCCGCGTGTTACTTTAGCATGCATTATTTATAACCAGTTAGCTTCTCTACCTGACTCAATGGTTGAAAATTGGAAAAACAATCTTAAACTTGATCCGAAAAACGAATTTGTTCCTGTATCAAAACTTATAGCATGTAACCAGTACCCAAAATGTAATTTATCTCGCCCTGGCCCTATTTTGTACACATTTCAACATTTCAGAGACGATAGAGTTGAAAAAAAGTGCATTTTTTGGAGTCTTTACTCAACAGCTACCACGTATTCAGAAAATGTATGTAAAAAAATCAAAACTAACAAAACGCACACTATATGTGAATGTCAAACTTGGGGCATAGTGTCAGTACTTGGGCGTGCAAAAGTTTATCGACAAAAATTCCAATTCGGAATATATAGTATTAGAATAAACTGTTTTTACTCTAGCTTGTTTGTTACGTTAAGTTTGGTTGTTGCTACTGTTTATTTGTTTTTGAAAGATCAATGGGGTGCCACTGCCTTGGAGGCTATTCGTATGAAAGAATTTGATTCCGGTAGAGTTATTAATTTGCACATTATGGTAAATACATTGATGACAGAAATTGTTTTTCTAATAATTACTTTCAATGTGACAGACGAGTCTATAAGCTGTTACATATTAGTTTTCCTTTTCTATTACTTTTTGCAAGCGGTATTCTTTTGGTTATATATTTACACATTATTTTTGCAAAGTCGAGTACAAGAAATATTTGATTCTGAGAAATACAACTCTTACAAAATATACCTCTTTGTTGGTTACTTTGTTCCGTTACTTGTTACGCTAACAATAAGTGGCTTAAACTTTGAAGCTTACAGCAAAGAACTATGTTGGTCATTATTTGAGGGAACAAGCGTATGGGGATTTTCAAGTGTTATAATCACAATTGCAATCGTGACGCTTCTTATGTTGCTTGATGTGTTTCGAGAATCAAAAACATTACCCAATGGCATAATATTACAAGAAAAGTGCATGAAAACAGGCTTTACAACGTTTTTTATGCTTTTAACAGCAATATTTGGTGTAGTAGGAATACAGACTGAGTTATTTAGTTGGCAATATTTGTTTTCTCTGTGTAACCTACTGCAAGGATTTTCAATTGTCATTTTATACTGTATTTTAAGAAGGGAAGATCCGATAATTAAGGCTAATCAAATCGGTCCGATCCCAGAAAAAATAGAAGATGACGATGGGGACGATATTGAAGAAACTGAAGACGGCAAAGTATTTTTAGACATATCTCCGTACGAAAGTGAAGTTGAAGATGTTGATGATGTTAAAGAAAACGTTCCTAGCGAGCAAAAAGAATTTCCTTTGCGCAAAAAAATAATTGTTGTGATTGAATCGAATGAAAAGGAGATTATTTATGACGCCGCATTAGATGAGCAAGATAAAAATGATTTGTTAAGTGATGAAGATCAAGAAATAGAATTTAGGAACGAAAATGAAGAGGATTTTTTTGTGCGATAAAAATGTTGAACAATTAGTCCTAAAAAAGCTTTTAGTTTAATTTTATGCTCAAGAATATAATAATAATAATAAAAACATTAAATAAACTAAACTTGAATACTTTTTTGCTATATTTTTTTTTAAAGCGGATGATTTTTAAACCGGATGTTTTAAAATATGTCTTTTTTAAATCGGGTGTAATAAAATGTCTCTGATCTACCTACTTAAGTTTATGGAGCTTTATTTTGTTTCTTTTGTGTTTTTTTTTAGTTTTAGATTTATAAAATTTAAGTTTAATTTATAAGTTTTAAGTTTTAATCTATGAAATATTTTAAACGTATTAACTATTTTAGATTTTATGTCAGTGGCAGAGAACTTTAAATGACAGCTCTTTAAATAGTTGCAACTTGTAAGTCCCACTGATGTAGACGCCACAAAATATAAAACGAATTATTTCATTAATAACCCTACGAATTGAATCAAGTGTAAACTAATAACCATAAAACACTGTGTTTAGTTCGTTCAACTAATTAATATAAAATCAGAGGCGACGTCGGCGACTACCGACGGCCTCGCGCTTGAACGGGCATCGAAAAATTATACTAAAAAAATTAAATACTGTATCTCAATTATAATTAATGATATTTTTACATATCTTATTTTGCTTTGCTGGACGAACTTATGTTTGTTTGTCGGTTTTATCATCAATATTATATTACTTCAACTTTAAATAAAAATCATTTTCTAACATCAATCTTATTCTAACTGTTTCTGATAACATAAATGCATTTTAAATATTGTTTATTATTATTTACCGGCTCTGAGGCGTAACGTATCGTTAACTATATAATTAACAAGGAAAGTTAATTTTCGATTCTACACCTTATCAAGATGTAATTGAGAAAACAAAAATTGTAATTAAGAATCGTAAGATGTAATTGAGAAAACAAAAGTTGTAATTAAGAAACGTAAGATGTAACTGAGAAAACGTAAGTTGTAATTAAGAAACATAAGATGTAATTTAGAAAACGAAAATTGTAATTAAGAATCGTAACATGTAATTGAGAAAATGTAAGTTGTAATTAAGAAATAGAAAGATGTAATTGAGAACACGAAAATTTTAATTTAGATATCGCTTTAAAGGAGTAAGTGTAAAATGGCGCTTAAAAAAAATGGCGCGTAAAAAAATAGAGCGTATAAAATGACGCACTTAAAAATGACGCAAGATTTGTAGCGTAAATTTAATTTTTTAGGGAAAAATTTAGGGAAAAAATTTATAATTTTTGGGCAAATGAATTTAACATAATAAACACTAAAAACATTTTAGGGAAAAATTTATAATTTTTGGGCAAATAAATTTAACGTAATAAACACTAAAAACAATAAATATGCGGTATGTAATCCGAGGGCCATGGCGGGATTTGTCCGGGGAAGGATGACCACGCGCTGTGACTGTGAATTTGCTATTTTAGACTGTGAGTTTGCTATTTTAATCTATGTGTTCTCAATTACAAGTTACGATTTCTCAATTACATATTATGATTTCTCAATTATATCTTACGTTTTCTCAATTACATGTTGTGTTTCTTAATTACATGTTACGACTTCTTATTTACATGTTGTGTTTCTCAATTACATATAACGTTTTCTCAATTACATGTTGTGTTTCTTAATTACATATTACGACTTCTTAATTACAACTTTCATGTTCTCATTTACATCTTGAAAAGGTGTAGATACATAAAAAATTCGATTGTCTTATCTATTCCATTTTTATTCGATTACAACGTGTGACACGCGTCAAATTATTAGTTAAACAATTATAAAATCTGAGAAATGAAAATGAATTCGAATTCAAATTTAAGTTTTTTTATTATAACCTAACTAACTTAGTTTATTTAGTTATAATGTAAATATTAAATTTTCTGCAATTATTTAAGCATTTAGTTCAGCTATTGTTTAAAACTACAATCTGTTCAAAAACAATAACGAAGTAAGTGAATATTACAAACTATTATAAATAAAATTTAACTCTTTATTTAATTAATTACACGTAAATTTTAAAAGTTAATCAAAAATGTTCTGCTTCTTTTATAACTATCTAGACCTAAAGTTAATACCATAAAAAAATAATTTAAATCAAAACTTAAAATTCATGCAAGTACCAAACTATAATATTTTCCATTAGTCCAAAATCATGAAAACCAAAGAAAGACAGAGATATAGGAAGAACATGGGAATCTGGTGCATCGAAAAGAAAAAGAAATAGTGAAACAGAGAAATCAAACCAAGGTCTGAGTTCCAGTATGATGAAATTTTTTAAGAAACTCCTCTCATCTGTTACTGCTACAGAGTCCTCTGATGAATCTCTTATTCAAGTTTCTTTGGTTTCTGAAACAGAACCAGCTTCAGATTCAAATGTATAAGCTGTGACCCAAGAGTTTGAACGCAATAAAGATTTGGCAAGTGATAAAATTTGTGACTTAAATTTTATCACTTGCCAGTAAATCAAGATCAAGCAATTCATTTAAGTGATTCATCTATAAACTTAGATGCGGGAAAAGGGACATTTCCAAAAACCGACTCTCAGCTATATGATTTAATTCGATACAGTTCCTATCAAAATATAGAGAAATCTGATGAAAGTTACCCCAAAGACGCAAATAACAGACATTTTTCTGAATTTTATTTTACGCGAAAACTAATTAACGGCAAAACTCGATACCGCAGATAGTTAGTTTACTCCTTGTCGAAAGGTTTATTGTAGACCTTGTAGACTTTCTCATACATAGATTCAGTTGATGAAAGAAGGATGTTGAAGACATGAAATAAAATAGACATAAAAAAATAAAGGACACATGGAGTGCATGGTTAAATGGATTGAATTGAAAAAATGGATTGAAAAGAGTCAAAAACGAAAAAATAGTAGGTGAGGAAAACAAGAGATTGATTAGAAAATCTCAAAAATTTTGATATAATTTTTTTGAAAGATTAATTGATATAATAAACTTTTTAGCCCCACACAATCTGTCATTTAGAGATCATCGCGAATCACCTAACCTGGGCAATAGTAGAAATAGTGGTAACTTTATAGACTTATTAAATTGCTATCCAAATATGATCTGACGCTAAAGGAGCACTTGCAACGAATCAATGAAAAACAAATTGCTCGAAATTATTTGAGTCACAACATTTAAAATTAATTAATTACATTAATATTTGAAACAGTTATTGAGGAAATTATACACATGAGTTAAACAAGCAAAAAAAGAAAAGCCTTTTTGCTCGATTGCACTAGAGATGCAAGTCGTATTGAACAAATGCCAATAATATTAAGATTTTGAAATTCCTCAACTGGAGCAATAGAGAAACATTTTGTTGGTTTTATTGCCGTTACAGAAACTACAAGAGAGTATTTAGCAAACTCCATATTACAAGAACTAGAGAGAAATGGTCTGGATATACAAAATTGTCGAGGACAGAGATATGATAATGGCGCCAATATGGTAGGCATTAATAAAGGTGTCCAAACAAGAACACTCAACATTAATCCAAAATCATTAATCCAAAATCGCAATTTAAAGAAAATAGAATAGCACGAAAAAATCGAATGTTCAGTTTTGAACACAAGGATAAACCTATACAATCTGCTGAAACACAGTACAAAATAAATTTTTTCAACACAATGATAGACGCAGTCATAGTCGACACTGAATGTCGATTCAAAGCGCTTAATGAATTTTTGACCATTTTGGTTTTATTTACGATATCAATTATTTAAAATCTTTGCCAAGAAAAGACCTGCTCAAGGATTGTAATAATTTAGGTATAATACTTTGGGAAGGTGAAAACAGCGACGTTGATCCTTTCGAACTTTATGAAGAACTGCAAATTTTAAAATCCACTTTACTAGAAAATTTAATGATGTAAAGTAACGTATGCAGTACATTTTAGAAAATAGTTTTGAAGAAATCCAAATCTTTACATAACAATCAGAATCATGCTCACAATTCCAGTAAGTACAACATCTGCTAAGAGAAGCTTCTCAAAGTTAATACCAACTGAAAAACCACGATAAGCCAAGAAAGACTATCTGCTTTATCCATTTTTTCCATTGAAGTTGAAATAGAAGCGAGCGTTAGTTATGACACAATTTTAAAAAGATTCAGCGAGGCTAAAAGCCGAAAAGTTCGTCTTTTTTTAATTTGTGTTTGTTCGTGTAATTATTGTTATTAATTCATATCATAATTAACAATAGAACTTATATGCTCTTCCTAAATTTTTCAATCTAAACTTTTAAATTTATAATGACTCCTAATATTTAAATACTAAGAACAAATAAGTGTGAATATCAAAATTAAGTGTAAAATAAATATGTTTAAAATAATTTACAATAGCAGCTCAGACTTGTGTTTATAATTTTCAATAGAATATAATGTTCAATAAAAGTTCAAGCTTGCACCAATTAACCTTCATTTTAGCCATTGTGGAAAATTTTGGAGTGCTATTTCACAATATTTTCCGCATTTCATTTTTAGAGGACCAATATTTAGGAAAAACAGTATCCTGTTTTAAAAACAGTAAGACAAACTAACAATAATTTTTTGATAAAAAAAGTAAAAGTTAAGAAGTTGTAAATATGTAAAATAATTATATTTACGGAAACAACAGGAACTTTTAAAAAATTAAAAAATACAAAAAAATCTTATTTTTATCTTTAAAAACTTGAATTAACAAAATAGAAAAGCTCACGAACTGATTTTTTGTTTTGTTTTGTTTTTAGCTTTTTTTTTTTTTTTTTTTTTTTTTAGCGTAAAATAAAGTAGTTTTTGCGAAACTTTATTATCTTAAAATTTATCATTTAATGAAAAATTTTGTTAATAACGAATTATTCTACAAATTATATTCCACAAATTAGTTCTAATTGTCAAGTTATTATTTTTTTACTTAATGCTTGAGCTAATTTAAAGTGTTCATATTATCACGTGATCTGGATAGTATGAGCACTTTTTCTACTTTTTAAACATTAAAGAGAGCAGTGATCCCTAAAAATTGTTAACTTGCAAAAATTTTGGATCTAGCGTAATTATTTTTGAAAATATTCTAATTTTTGCTTAAGG